CCCTCCTCGTCCTTCCCCCTCCTCTCTCACTGCCCACTAGACAAACCAAGGAAGCCAAGTAAGCAACATTCCTCCAAGTATGGGGACCCAACCCTTCTTTGGCAGGCGGGAATCCATAGACCTATGTATATATAATCTTACAGACTACACTCACACACCCGATGACAGCGGACACAAACAGCCGTGTCCATAGACCTATGTACATATTATCTCACACTTACAAACTACACACACACACACCCAATGACAGCGGAAACAAACAGCCGTATCCATTGACCTATGTATATATGTGAGGCAGCGTGGTGATATCAGGCTCTCGTCAATTTTTGGGTACATAGAGTTATTGGTATCATCTTAAAGCTTGTTCACTTGTCTTTATTGGGTGAAAGAAATATCCATTTATCTTGATTACAAGTCGAGATATTTGCAAAAGAAAGAGATGGAGGTCCCCTGTTTTCAAAGGCAAAATTAGTGAGAAAATGGATGCCAAAGATTAGTTATTTCCTTGGTAACTGAAAATTTATATTTTTGTGCCTTTAATCAACGCTTTTCAGAAAAATCCACCCAGAAATGAGTTCTTTAATGGGCATGAAAGGTGTTGAGTCAAAAAACAAAAATTTGATAAAAATTCACAAACCTGAGAAAAAATGCATGTTTTTTCATTTGGATTATTTTGACGAGAGCCTGATTCCACCACGCTGCTTCACATATTATCTTACAGACTACACACACACACACACACACCCAATGACAGCGGAAACAAACAGCCGTATCCATATAATATGTATATATTATATGCTCGTGCACACACACACAGACACACACACATACACACACATACACACACATATACACACACACACACACACACACACAAATACATACACACATACACACACACATACACACATAATCACACACACACACACACACACACACACACACACACACACACACACACACACACACACACACACACACACACACACACACACACATACATTCTCCCATTTCCAAACTGTCAGTATTCAGAGAAGGATTCATAAAGCTCAAAAACGAAGTCACTGACCTCATCATAGCTGAGTAAACTTTGGAAAGTGCCTTACCAAGGGGTTGGGTTATAACTTTTAAGGGAATCAGTCAAAACATTCTTCTACTGACACTATTTTGGTTCAAATCCCTCTTTGTCAGATACGCTTTCTACTCCATTTGTGAATAACGAATTTGTACCAAGTTATCTTAACCATTCCTGTCCTAAAATGTATAGTAATACCCACATTTAGCGTTCATTAAATCTTTTAGGAGGTGAAATTGCTTGTTCTCTGCCTGTCGGTGCCAGCCTGGATTGAAGGGAGTCTAGCATCCCAATTTACAGACACACCCAAGCAAGAATCCAGCTCACGTCTTCTGCTTGAGACAACAAAGCTCTAAACCGCTATACCACAGACACCTACAGGTTTTTCCCTTTCGAGCAGACATTAATAAAGAATGTGCACAAAGACCAGTTGCTCAAGATAGGCAAAATCATGGCATAGATTAGTAACTGATAACAAAAAGTAAAGTGACAACCTTTTAACAACATTTGTTGTGATTTTTTTAAAGTATCGAGCCTTTTGAACCAACTTAAAAATTTTATTCAAAGATCATACAACGTTTTGAAATGAAACAAAGTGCCCGAGAAAAATGAAACCTTGGTCTGCATGGTATGGGAAACTAGCGGACAGGATAGGCTTTACTGACAGCTAACAGATCAGTTTTGCGGATGACTTTGGTTCAAATCCTCATTTGGACATCTATTCAGCGAATAATGTTGCTTTTTTCAAGATTATTATCTTAAGTTCTACACTAATACAAATGAAGAGTACAGAGTAAACATGACACTGGTCACATATCAATGTGTTTGCCGTTGTCAGTTCTGAATTATTATTTGGTTTGTTTCACTTTGTCCATCAATCCCGTCTTCATCAGAAACGTCTGTTGTCATGTACTATGTACCTGTGATATATCTTCTCCCAAGAGCAATGTGGGAGTAAAAATGACACATTGAACAAAGAGTATCTCTGCCTTTCGGTTAGGGTATCATATCTCACTTAGCCCTTGTTTACCCTGAGAGGTAGGGTCGAAGTGGAAAGTATTTCAAAAGACTTAGCTTAAATCAAAATTCGGGCGTAAAAAGTTTAAAGTCTCGTTTGGGGACATTTATTAAGAACGGCAATACTTTCCGTCCAGATATGACAGATAGCAAGTAAACGTTATGTTAATAGTAAATGTATACCTGATCCCAACCCCCCTCTCTCTATTCATTCTGAGCCCCATCTCTTCACTATTCTTTACCCCCCACCACCTTAGTGGCGTTTGGTGGCGTGTAAAGAGGGTGGGGCTTGTTGTGACCAAACATTGAAATCACTCAGATTATAACGAATGTATAACGACCATGGGTTTTTATGTTGAGCAAATGCAACGATGTCTTTTTGATTGAATGGTGAATCCTTCATGATGAAGCATTCATGATTAAAATGTATCTTTTGCTTTCTATCCACAACATGATTTTAAAATTCTTTGTTTGATGTTGTCCCAGTCTCTTGACTACGAGAAAAAAAAAGAGAATCTACACGATACATTGCTGAGTCGAAGAACAAACAATAAATTTTAATTTAAAACCACCTCAACTCAGCGGCGCTTGCTTCATTGTTTGTCTGATATCCACACGCAGAACCCATGTGAACACAGCTTGTATGCAAAAGATCACTACCAGTTCACACGCTCAAAACTTCATTTGAGTATGCACACACAATGCTATTTCATTGCCAAGAGAGCCGAGTAAAAAAAACCACTATCAAAACATAAACAAGGTTGTATTCATGTAACTGGTGTATGGTTTACAGACTTCAACATTCGTTAAGGACCACTTGCAAACACTACGAATGGTCTTCTTGGGTCGTCCTGCATTTGGGCACTCTTGGACTGATCCAGTGGCTTGATGGCGCTGCCTGAAGCGGACAATGACAGAGTGTGACACTGCAAGCCTTCAGCTGGCAACTTCTCAGGCTCCAACTCCATCTTGTAGCCATGCCATAGCTCTGGCTCGATCAAACTCTCTCAGCTTTTGTCTTGGTGGTATGTTGATGCGATGCTGGATTTTGAGCAAACGGCGGCTTAGATTGTCACCAAAGTGAGCACAGTTCGAGACCGTACGTCCGTTTATGACGTGCACATACATTTTAACTGAGGAATGTCTATGGTGTCGCACATATGTCGATAAAAAATAGCAAATGTGGTTAAAATTCCCCTAAGATTTCCGTGCAGTACGTGGTGGTTTTGCCTCTTAAGGAAGCTTTGCAGTGCGCTTTGGTAACCCATTAACACTTTCAGAGTTTGAAACTTTCCTTGCTGGGTTTTTTGTTTTCAAATTAAAATCAAACAGGGCTCTCTTTCAAGGTGGTCCATAACTTAAGTGGAAGTCTGCATTTCCTCGCGAAACGGTCTCTCGCTCTCGTTCTCTCTCTCTCTCTCTCTCTCTCTCTCTCTCTCTCTCTCT